AGGGGCGGCCCAGGCTGCGGCTGGGGCAGGGCCCCGCGTACCCAGGCTCTGACCTGGCTTTTGAGGCCAGCCATGCTCCTGCTTCCACCCCACCGGGGCCAGGCGAGGGCTGGGGCTGCCTCGGGGAGGCAGCGTGTAAGGGGCATGGGGCAAGGCAGCCTAGCCCCTGCCTCTGGTGCTGCCTCCTGCTCTGTCAGGCCCAGCGGCCGTGCCCAAGGCCGGGTGCCAGGCAGGATGAGGCCGAGGAGCAGGGCTGCGTTCCGGCCCCTGCTCTGGTTGGGCATTGGGGGAAGCCGGGCTGGATGCCAGGCTGGATGCCAGGGCTGTTGGGGGCTGATGCTCGGCTGAGCTTCCTAGCTGCTTGTGCCACCTGCTGCTGGTTGCGGCAGGCCCCGGCTCCCTCGGTGCTGGAGCCGAGCTCTTCCCCTGACCCGCAGCCTGCCCCTACTCCCACGGCTGGGCCTGTGCTGGGGCACAGGGAAGGAGGACCCTGGCCCGGTGTGGGGGGCAAGGGCACGGGCACGGGGTGGCTGTGGCATTCAGCCCTGGCCTGCCCCTGTTTCTACTTCCTACGTGGAGGAGCTGCTGCTACCTTGGGAGGGGCCTGCCTGGCACCTGGCCAGCACTGTCCCGGAGGGGGGAGAGCTCAGGCCAGCCCCTCCACCCCACCCAGCCCGTGCTGGGAGCTGCAGCAGCCCCTGCGGGGTGGGCTGTGGGTGCAGGAAGTGCAGGGCTCCTCGCGGCCCAGCCCCAGGGGCTGCAGCAGGCGCTGGCTCCCGCCCATGCGCGCAGTGACAGAGGTGGCACTGAGTGCTCAGTTGGTTTCTGGTCTTTATTTGCTCTCGGTCTGGGACATTTCTAGCCAGGCTGTCCAGGAGCCCCTACAAGAGATGAGGGAGCGGTGGGCCCGAGCCCCGCCGGAGGCCGCAGGAACGGCCCTAGGGCAGGCACGGGGAGGGGTGACATGAATCGGCTACTTACTCGGCCTCCTCCTTGGAGATGACTTTCCCGGCGTAGAGGGCCTCCGCCACCATCACGACCATGGGGTCGCACTTCAGGCTGGCGACGGCGGTCACGTAGCCGTCCCTGAGGGAGGGAGGTGTCAGTGAGGAGGCCCTATACCCCCACCCAGGTGCGAGTGCCTGTGTGCGGCTGGCCCAAGGGCTCGGGTCTGCCCCGCCCGGGGCGATAGGGGCAGAGGGAGCCGGCGTGCCCAGGGCCTGGGGGCAGCGAGAGCATAAGCTTCTGGCTGCTCCCGGCTACGGCCCTGCAGAGCCAGCGTTCGCTCCCCTGCCCGCGCGGCCGCCCAGCGCTCACTTGATGTAGAAGATCACAAACTTCTGCTCCTCCAGGCTTCCCTTCACCACTGTCTCTGTGAAGCCTTTCCCACAGCCTGAGGGCAAGGAGAGGGGTGAGGGCCGGGCCTGACCTGCCTGCGGGCCCCAGGTGCGGGCAGCTGCCCCCCAGGCTCAGCTGGTGAGGGAAGGCAGGGCAGGCTGCCTGGTGCACCGGAGCTGGGGCCCGGCCAAGCAGTGAGAGCCCCAGCTGCTGAGGGGCAGAGGGCACATCCTCCAGCCCAGCCCAGCCCAGAGCCAGAGAGGGGGTCTGCATCATGCCCCCAGAGCCTGCAAGCAGGTGGGGCGAGGGTCTGGGACAGAGCCCTGTGCCCGCATAGCCTTCCCCACCTGCGTAGCGGATGCTGCTCCCGAGCAGCACGGTCCAGAAGAAGGGCACGGTGTGCAGCGGTGACTGCTTCTTCAGCATGCTCAGCGCGGCCACGTGACCTGCAACGCACCCCAGCCGGGCGGCCATTCACTCCTGCCCATGCTGGGGGGAGGCCTTTGCCTCCAGGCTCCCAGCCCGCTGCAGGCTGCGGCCTGCGCTCTGCTAGCATGAGACTGCACCAGAGCCGGCCCCACCGCCCCGTCCCGTGCTCCGACCCCTCACCGTGTGCTTGAGCCACCTGCCAGTGGTAGATGCCAATTCTCTCTCCCCCCAGCAGCGTGACCGGGAAGGCAGCCACATCCCCGGCAGCAAAGACCCTCGAGACGTTGGTCTTCATGAGCTGTGGGGGGATAGGGAGCGGTCAGGGGGTGCAGGCACGAGCAATCGTGGCACAGCCACAGCCTCAGCCTACGCACCAGGTCCACCAGGACGGCGCCGCGGGAGTCCAGGGCAAACGGGCTGCCCTTCAGGAACTCGGAGGCCGGGGAGACGCCTGGGGCAGACAGAAGACGGTGAATGGAGGGAGCCCGTCCTGGTGCCCAGAGATGGGTGCTGGCCCTGGGCTGAGGCCGGTGCAGAGCCTGGGCCTCGCTCGGAGCAGCAGGTCCATCGTGGCCCCTGGGGAGGAGCCCGGGGCAGGACAGAGTGACGGCCGGGCACGCCTGGGGCACCCTGTGGGCTGGTGTCCGGCCGGAGCTGCCCAGGGGCGAGGCTGCAGCCCTGGGACAAGGGGAATGGGGGGCATCACTTACCTATTCCCACCACCACCACGTCAGCCGGCAGCTTCTTCCCACTGTCCAGAATGGCCTCTGCGACCTGGGAAGAGGCCGCAGCCAGCTGAGGCCCTGCCCGGCCCCCAGGGATCCCCACCCCAGTGTCACGCAAGACACGTGCTGCCCTCTCAGACAGTGGCCGAGGGCGTGGGCGGCCGGGACTGACCTTCCCGTCCTCTCCGCGCAGCTCGGAGACTTGGCTCTTCATGTAGAACTTCACGCCCCGGCCTTGCAGCATCTGCGAGGAGAGCTGTGACCGTCCTGTGCGCCTGCCCCTCTGCTCGCCGTGCGCTGGGGAGTGCTGGCCCAGGGGCTGCTGCCCGCCCGCCTGCGCTGGCCTATGGCCGTGGCTTGGGACACGGCCCTGAGGGGTGGGCCGGGGTGTCCCTCCATGTGGGCAGGGCTGGGACTGGCTTGGAGCAGCTGGGTGTGAGGGGTGGGTGCTGCGCAGGACCCTGCGCTGCGGATCTGCTGGCCCGGAGCAAGGAGACTCTCACCTTCATGGCAACTCCCCCGACCTGGGGCCCCAGCGCCTCCTGGAACGGGACCGCCTCCTTCTCCACCACGGAGATGGTGCTGGCCTTGTCCGAGAGGAAGGAAGCCACCTCCATCCCTGCGAGCCAGGACGCCCCGAGGTGAGGCCCATCCCTGGCCCCAGGAACCCGCTACCTGGGGGCTCAGCGCTCCTCCAGCCACTTTGGCTCCCCCCAGAGCCCTGGGCAGGGTTGGTGGGAAGGACCTGCCCTTGTGCTCCCTGGCCGCAGCTGCCAGCGGGGCCGCTCATGGGCAAAGCCACCCCACAGCTGCGGGCAGGGCAGGGCTCATCCCCATCTCGCCCGTCCCCACCGATGAACGATGCGCCCACGATCACCAGCCTCTTGCCAGCAGCCAGCTCCAAGATCTGGTTGGCGTCTTCTACGGTCTGGAGGAAACGCACGTTGCACAGGTCTGCGCCCGGGCACTTGAGCGGCTTTCGGCTGCAGGGGAGGGACGGGGCAGCCGGCTCGTGCTCTGCTGCGTGCCCCGAAGAGCAGGGCCGCGGGAGCTGAGCGGCCCCCCCAGTCCTGCGCTCCCAGGTGAGGATGCGCTGCCCCCCACGCGGCGTCTGCCTACTCACCGGCTGCCCGTGGCAATCAGGAGCTGGTCGTACCTCTGGGAGGACCCGTCCTTGAACTGGGCCTTCTGCCCCTTCGTGTCGATGGACACTGCCTGTAGGCGCGGGCCCTGCTCCCTTAGCCCCCGCGGCTGGGGCACAGGCCTGCCTCCAGCGCGCCCCAGTCCAGCCTCCCTCCCAGGCGCCCCCAGTGCAGGGGCCAGGGGCCGTCCCCCCGGGGGCGGGGACCGCCTGCCTGTCCTGCACGGCCCACATGCTCGTCTGGGCTCTCTCCCAGAGTCCCCCTGCCTGCCGGCAGCCTGCACCAGGGCACTCGCACGGGCACCCCCACGTGCACAGCCACTTGTGCTGTTCGCATGCATGCCCAGGCGGAGATGCACATGGCCCCTCCACCCCTACCCCGGAGGGATGCCGGCTTCGAGCCAGCTGCTGCTGAGCACACGTCTCACTCCGTCACCTCCTTCTCAGTCCAGACTTCGATGTCGTGCGCCGTGAAGAACTCCGGCGCCCTCAGGTAGATGCTCTCTGCCCTGACACCCATGTCCTGGGAGCAGAGCAGAGGCACACGCAGGAGTGAGGCGTCGTCCCCGCACTCCCGCCGTCCTGAGAGCAGGGGCTTGGCGGGATCACCACCCTGGGGCATTTCTCCAGGGAGGTCTGCAGTGGCAGACCTTGCATCTGCCTCTCAGGGTGGCAGCTTGCCACCCCCACAGCTGCAGCAACAGCTGGGGACCGGGCGAGAGCACTGGGCCCAGCCCAAGGGGCTTTGCTGGGGCTGGAGCACAGGCCTGCATGCCTGGAGGGCACGGAGCCAGGCCCGCACGCACCTTGCTCAGCCGGGTCCTGTCGTAAGGCACGTGCCTTTCCTTGGTCACCAGAATGACCCTGCCCGTGAAGCCCTCCTGCCGCAGCGTTTCCGCACACACCAGCGAGGCTGGGCCTGAGGGAGGAACAGTCTGAGCCCTGCCATGCCGACCTGGTGCCAGGCAGGCAGGAGGAGGGGGCTCCAGCATGGCTGGGGAGGGCCCAGGGCAGGGTCCCACTCGGGCGCACCCTGCCCTGCCCTGCCCACCTCCGCCCAGCAGCAGCACCGTGGTCTGGTTGATCCCGCAACGCTTGCTCATGTCCTTCAACCTCCGGCTGCTCTCCAGGTCCTAGAGGAAAGCGGGTCAGGGAAGGCAAGCGGTGTCCCTTGCCCCACGCTTGGCTGCAGCTGCAGGGGGTGGGGGGTGGCGAGGCGGGTACCTTTCTCCTGGCCGTAACGAACACCTTCCCATCTTCCACTTTCACCTGCGGGGACCGGAGGAGAGCGGGAGGTCAGCGCTGCGCTGGCGCTGCCAGAGGCCCTGTGGGCTGAGGCGCTGTGCCGGGGCGGGGCGGGCCAGGCAGGCTCTGCTAGGAGGACCTGGAGCCCCAGTGGTACCCCGACGCACTGGGAGCAGGGCACGGTCTCCGATTCCCCTGGGGCCGTGGGCTTGCTTTGCACGGGAGGTAAGTTTGTGCATCATCCCCCTGCGTGGGCTTCGGCATGGGCACCTGGGTCGGGTCCGGGGCCCCCCCGGGAAGTGGAGAAGCCCCACGGTTACAGGAGCCAATGCAGATAGCTGCAGAGAGCCTGGCCAGGGCCCGTCCGGACACCTGCCCAAGCGGCCGGGGCTGGGCTTGGCTGGGACAGGGTGGATGCCCAGGCACGGCGACGGGGCGCAGCCAAGAGCACTCCTGCGAGGCAGACCCCGGGCGGAGGGTGAGTGGTGGGAGCAGAGCTGGCTCCAGGACTCCCGGCTGCCTGCTGCGCTGGGCAGGAGCACAACCCCCCAGGGGCCGGGGGCGCGGGGGCAGGGCCGGCCGTCCTCCCCGATCCCGCCGGGGGC